GATCCAACCTCAATTTCAAGTTTTTGAGCTTGAGGGTAAGCTCCAAGTTGAAAAGGGGGGGGGGGGGGGGTATTGATAAGCCCTTCAGAGTATATGGAAGAAGTAGAATCAAGAAGAAGGGAGCTGAATTAGCTGAGAAGACACGTGGAGGAAGTTGATGTGTGTACGTGTGAGGGTTGTCAAGTTTTATCCTAAATGAAATCAATAGTCGCAAGTGCACAGCTGATCGATTGTAGTACTTAGGGATCGAATCCACAGGGAAGGAGGATCTTTCCTGCAAAAGCCTTCGAAAGAAATATAAAGTAAGAAAGTCTAGACGATTTTTGTAAGGGTTTTGGTGGTGTCTTTAAAACGTAAAAACTAATCTTAACGAGAAAATACGGGAATTAAAATGACATAATAAATAAACTTAATGAAATCGACTAAAAACAAGAAAAACGGCTAAACCTAATTGCTTAAATGAAAATTGATTAAGAGAATGAAAATGATGAACTAAAACTTGAAGTAAAATCGATGTAAATCTATAGAAAAGAAGGCACTGGGTTTCAGGGAAGTTTTCTCTGGGTTATGAACGATTCAAAACATTGCTAGAGAGTAAATTTGATAAGATCTTAGCTAAAACTTTTCGAACTAGAGTCACGGACGTATGAATACGCCACTGTCGTGATCATAGACAACTATCTCTCTCAACTCTGACCAGTAGGTTTCCACTCTGGCCCTGGAAGAGAAAAGATGCATTATGTTTAAGACTCGTCAGCATTCACAAATTGCCCATAGGTAGGTTTCCACTCCTATGTTTGTTTTGCTCTCCCAAATTAGATACTGACACCGGATGAACACTTTCGTGTCACCAAGCATATGGATCAGATTGTAGTTCATGACGCTACTCTCACGCAGTAAAAGTAAATTCAGAAGAAAAAATTTCTAAGATTCGGCTTCAATAGCTCATGGAATCCTCATCGAACATATATATATCCCCATCGAGAATCCCCTTGACCCAACCATAAAACTACTCAGACATAATGAACGAAATCAAAAACATAGTATTAAAAAGTAAAGCAATAATTGAAATTGAAAAAGAAAGAACAAGGGTTGAAGAGATAGATCTCTCTCTCCCTAAACCTAAAAACTAAAGCTTAAAGTAAATTTCTTCTAAAGAATTTCGTCTCTCTTAAAAACGACCTAAATGATAAGCATTTATAGTCTTCAATGCTCTCTGGTGTCTAGGATTCCGGAATTAAAGCTGAGAAAATGATTTGGGTTTCAGAAATGGGCCTTCTAACTCGGAGTTGTCTGGTCGCGGTCGGGAAGTGCGTGGCTGCGGGGAATGGATGCTTGGCCGCGGTCGGGTAGCCTCTGATCATGGTGAAATGGCTGTTGGCCGCGGGTGGAAATGCTTGCCGGCTGGTTTACGGGACATCTTGCTCTTCGCGTATCTTTTGATTGAACCGTTGGATTGCCAAACTGTAAAGTGTGCTGGAAAGCTGATAGTTCCATATTTGAGATCTCTAAATTTGAGCTGGATCAGACAGTGAGAAGGCCTTCAATCGGGGGTGAACTTCTGACGGTTTGACTCTAAGCTGAAAATCTGGTCTTCTATCCATTTTGTTAAGTTTTTCCCTAAGTTTCTTGAAAAGAGTCTTAGAACTACAAATACTAGAAAAACATAATAAAAGTACTTGAAAACAATAAAAAACATAGAAAACGTATTTCAAAACGATCCATAAAAATGGTCAAAATATGGTGTTATCAGTTTATAAGAGAATAAGTGTGAATAGTGTGAACATTAGTGTGAACACTTAGTGTATAAATAAGGAGTCATTGTTGACATTTACGGTATGTTGAATTGTGTATAGAGTAGCGATATGAGCTATATGATTCTGTTATAGTCGTTATGAGAATGTACAGATTCTTATACAAGAAGAGATATCTTGTATTCTATACATAGTCAATATACATTGCCTTTACAGAGAGAACTACTAGCAAAATTCCATCAGTCTCTTTCTTTTCTTCTCTCTTTCTCTTTCTCTTTTTTCTCTCCCTCTCTTTCTCAGATTCATTTCATAATATCTTCACTCCTTCTTTCTTTCTCTCCTCTCTCTCAAATCCTCAATTGTGGGAGCCATTTTCTGTTGAAACCATAGTGGTCAGGTTTTGCTCTTTTTCCATATTAGGGTGATTACATAGTGAATGACTTTTAGTTGAGATTAATAGTTTGCTAGAGGGAACAATGAGTATGGACAAGGCAACAAAGTTTTGATCTGGGTCGGTAGAACCGTTTCGATTTAGACTTGGTAGCCTTCATTGTTGTCTCTGTATTTTGTCTCTCGCTTGCCGACGTTAACAACACCAAAGACATGTGTGCATATTTTAGTGTGGATGTATAAATGTGGATGTATCGATGTGGACGTATCAGTGTGGACACATCTACACCAAAGATGTTAACTAGTTTTTATTAGCCATGAACGTGTTTATATGTTTCAGTGTGGACGTTAGTAGAGGTCTATGTAGTAAGAGAGAGGTTATGTAGATGTATCCATTGTTATTATGGATATAAAGTTAATGGTGGGGGAGACCAAAAATCTTCTGCTAAATAAAGATGAAATATGTTCATACCCATTATATGGTCGTTGAGACATGAGTACTTAGAATGAGACTGTGACCATGCTACTTGAAATCTCTAGATACTGAGACATGGTCGTTGAAAGCGGTGAGAAAATTAGCAGGGAGGCGTAGGTTTTGCAATATGAATTTACTACATGAATATATAAATATGTACACACATTAGAACATTCTCCCTGCATCTTTCGTAATGTTAAACTGATGAGAAATTCTGATAACACTATTTGAATTGAAAGGGCTCTACTTTTTTCTCAAAATTGATCGCTTGGCTGGCCTGCACTAGACAGGGCCTGTTCTTTGTTCAATCATGGACATGTTCATATGGATTAGTTTCTATCTAATTGTTGTGACTTCTTTTTGTAGTTATGGAGATGACCACATATACCTTATTTAGTTTATGTGGCCAGTTATATATATTCTATGGATATGGTTAGATAATATATTCTATTTAATATATTTATAAAAAAAGACCATAATATATGAATATATGTACACAATACACATACATATCCATGTAGTTTAACAAATATCATGGAATGCTAAAATGAAAAAATTCGTCATTGAAACTATATCCTCGTGCACACGTCCATTCCAACATCAATATCTAGCATCAACAAAAACAAATAAAAACTAATCATCTATTATGTCCATGTCTATATGGAAATAACCATATTGTATTGAACGTTCAAATGCATCATGTTTGGAGACGTGGATGGATGCATCTACGTTGAAATGCCAACGAAAGGAAAAAGACAAAGTGGAGATGTGGATAAGCTTGAGTATATCGACATTTTCCTGATGTAGTGAGTCATTCTCATGGTGGAGCGAGTGAAATTCTGTCATTAAGGATTGAAGATGGGAGACGCAGAGCTCTTAATGTTCACTGAGTTTGTTCGCGGAGGCGGTGCTCCACAGTGCTGTCGGTGCGAGATGGAGGAAGAGATTAAAGGATGGAGGTGACAATGGAGATTGTGACGGTGGTATTGGTAAGAAGAGGAGTGGTGGTAGTGGTGGAGAAAGTTTGGGGTCGTCGTTGATGGAGAAAAAAAATGAAAGGGAGAAGTGATGATAGAAATATGGTATAAGGAAGAAGCAGAGCCGTGCCTGAGAATTCTCAGGCCCCAAGCAAAAAAAAATAATTTGACCCTTTTAATCGTTTTTTAAAAAATGTTATAACAAAAAATAACTAGTTGAATATCAATGCATTTTATATAAAATATGACTATTCTTGCATTTTTAGTAACAAGGTGAATTCTTATTTTATAGTGCAGTTACTTTTTTAAATTATTTAGTTTTGTTGATGTGGGACAACCATAAGACTGACTTTTTTAAAAAAGAAAGAAAGAAATAAGGCCTTGTGGATTCGAACCTAAATACCAGTTGTGCTAACTCAGTTTTAAAAAATTTGCCCCCAAAATTTTATTTATTCTCTTTGGCCCTGAAGCACATGCTTCACTAGCCTGTGCTCAGGCACGGCTCTGAGAAGAATATATAAAAATGAACCAAATCTGAAAAAAAAGGTGAGAGAAAGAAGTAATTAAAGTGAAAAAATGGCAAATAATTAAATAAAGAAAATAATTATTATTGGTTAAAAATGATTTGATTGAAATTTTTGGTTTATTCTAAGGGAATTTTAAGAAGAACTAATTTGTCTTTTTCATATATGATAAAACATGAAGAAGTGCTATTTAAAATAAAAGTGCTATAGAATGTAAATATAAAGTGAAAAAAAGTGTAATTATTTCTAAACATTAATGGACTATGAGCACCTCCAACTTTTGACAGAATTAAGTAATTAATCAATGCAAGCTCTTCGCCGATAAAATTAAACAATTTAGATTGATTGTATTTTTTTTGGAAAAGCTAAAAAATTAGCCTAAATATATTTAGTTATATATTCGTCCAGAATGTATATTCGTATCACTGGAGCTGGTACAATGATGACGAAATTTTCTTACAAAAAATTCTGCCTAGTCACAAAGCGACAAACCAATGCATGATTAGGAATTTTATTCTGGAACCAAACAGCTTTTGTACCCAGTGAATGTTAAAGTTCCGAAATGTTCGCTGTTGAAAAAGCCCTAATCCGTGAGTTGTTTGAATGTTTTTAGTTTACCTCTCTCTAAGAACTTGTTGAAGTGAAAAATCCACATTTAACCAATCCACTCTAAAGTAGAAATTTTTGAGAGAAGGTTAAATGAGACCATTGTGTTCATATGATGTTTGGAACATCGATTTGTAAAGTCGGTAATGACAATTTATCACCCTAGATCATGGAACTTGCTTCCGAATAATCCTACTAGACCAATACAATATCGAAATGTCTTTGTGTCTATATTCTGAAATCCAACATAGAACGGTTTCATTGAAGAAAGAGATAAAGAAAAGGAGTTTCAATTTGACATTGTAACAATCTCAATAAGCAAAATATCAAATAAATTACTACTACAACAATTGTTTACCCGCAAAGATAATAGATCCATAAAGAAGTAAGAAAACAAACCCAAACTCAATAGAAGATACAATGAAGTTTCAAAAAGATTCAATAAACCTCTTAAAACCCCCTTTGTACCTATCAATCACTATGTAAAATCATAACTTAACCATAACTTAAACGTAGACGAACAACTACAAGCAAAAAAAAAGTCTTTCCAAAAAATCATCCTCTAACCCTTTAGCTCTTATTCCCTGAAACGCATTCTTGAACAAGAATCAAGATCTCTTCTCAATCTTGAGTTTCTTTTCCAGCAACTTCACTTTCCCTCTCAACCAAAAGCTTCCCAGCTTCCTCATCACTCTCTTGAACCTTCTTTTGCGCATCTTTAGCCTTCAAAGCCTGAAGCTTGCAATGATTATAATACCCAACACCCAAAAACGCAAGCCCATAACCAAACAGATTCAACGGCGTGACCGTATCCTTAATCACAGACCACGAAAACGCAATCAAGAGCCAGTCTTTAACCACACCAGCCACATTCATGGTCAAAGCTGAAGTCTTCCCAACGAGGAGGAACACAGCGAGATTCAAAGCAAAAGCACAAACCGAATTCGTTCCGAAAACAACGAAATCGAAATGGAAACTCGACGTATCCCTCAGAATCGGGAACTCAACGAACATCCAAGGAACAGAGAGGAAAGCCATACAACAAGGAGCAACGTAATACAAAGAAGTGATCGGATTAAGATTGATTCCTTTAGAAGTAAGCAAGATCTGAATCAGAACCAACCTCGTAGCTTCGAAAGCAACAGCTCCGAGCTGAAGAACAACACCCCAGACATCGAATTTCGCTTCGCCGTAAGCAGCGATCGCTACACCGAATGAGATCGAGAGCATGTTCGTCATGGTCTGAGATTTGAAAGTCTCCTTCTTTAGCAAAACCCCGATCGAGTAAACGGCGACGGGCATTAGGGCTTTGAGCATCTGGATAAAGGAGACGGAGAGGTAGATGTAGGCCGAGTTCGATAACCAGAGGGAGAGTGAGTACAACGCGCCGATGGGGACGACGGATCTGAGGTAAGTCTCGCGAGACATGGAGACTGGCTCGACGATTTTGAAGACTTTGATGAGAATTACGGCTAAGGAAGAGCAAAAAGCCATGTGAATCATGGTGAGTGTGATTGGGTATGGCCAATTGTAGAGCTTTTTGTCGAGGATGTATTTGTTGTAGACGATTACGGTGAAGCTGAGGAAGATCCAGATTGCGACGTATGTGTAAGAGAGGATGATCTTCTTTAACACTCCGTCGCTTAATGCGCGACCTTTCCCCATGTTTTTGGTGGTGGGTTTTTGGTTTTGGGTCGCCGGAGGAGGTGGAGGTGGTGGCGGTGCGCAGGTTAAGCAGAGCTGCGCAAGATAGAAGAGAGACTCTCTCTCTCTCTGCCTCTCTGTTTCTCTTATGTCAATGTTTGGGTTTTGGGGTTGAGAAGACTTTTAGTTGGTCTAATGTAGGGGAAGGGCTTACGTGACGTGGCGAAAAGGTGCTTGGTTATTTGACGATTGGCTTATGGTGGGACCCGTATTTAGTTCTTTGTTTTTTTATATAGTTTATACCTAAGTTTAAAATTTTGGTTTGTTTTTCCCCAAGTCGTTAAATTATGAAATAATGTGGAAAATATTTTGTTTTTGAGCTCTTTTTCGTTGCTTACGTTTTGTTATTCGAATTACGAAACTGTCCATTTTGTTTACTGTTTCCTTAATGTTGCGGAAAGCTCACAGAAAGGAACCTGTAATTCTACCTTGACTAATTTTTTTTTTTTTTTTCTACAACCCAACTATTACATCATATTTGGCGCGTTAAGGAATTGGTCCGAAAACTATCCTCAGCTAACTCATTATGAATGATTTGGGAGAAAATACTGTCTCTTGCTCGAGCTCCTTTTGCAAGACTATCTGCTCGGACATTTGAACTTCTGGCGATATGTAATAGATTGAAATCCAAAAAGCTTTCCCGAAGAATACGAAGGGCTTCCAGCTCTGATGAAAAAGATGACCAATCCGATGGAGATTCATACATGCTTACCAAATCTGAACAATCGGTCTGAAAGTGAACGGATAAGATTTGTCTCTCTATCACACAAGACATAGCCCATAACAGACTCACCAATTCGACATGGAGGGCCGATAGGCTTCTACGGCAGCCCTGTAGGCCAAAGATCTCACCACCCCTCTCATCCTTTAGATTCCATCCGAGCCCACTTACCAGGTCATTACTTATCCAGGAAGCATCGACCTGACACAGCGGTAACCTCTCGACATCGGGTAGAGGACTCCGGAGCAAAGTAGTGAGTGGCGCCTCATCTGGTTCGTCCTCTACTTCTTCTGGTTGGTTTGCAATCTTCCAACTTTCTGCTTCAACCTTGGCGTGGATCAAGGTATCTACTGGGGAAATTTCTTTCCCGTTGTAGATCTTGTCGTTCCTCGCTTTCCAAATGTACCACAAGATCCAAGGATAAAAGTCTTTTTGAGGATCTGTCATGCCTAACTCTTTTGTTTTCCAAAAGAGAAAGCTCATATTTTGGTAAATAGAAGTAATCGGGAAGAGACCCGGAAGGGACGGAAAGTCCGATAACGCCCAGACTTGTAAAGCCGGGGGACATAAAAACAAAAGATGGTTAATAGATTCTTCAGGATTCCCACAGCGGGGACAACTCTTATATGTTCTCATATGCCTGTAGGTTAGGTTTTGGCAAGTAGCAATACATCCTGATAAAGCTTGCCACATAAAATGCTTCATTTTTCCAGGCGTCCGTATTTTCCAGACATAGCTTTGAAGGGCTGTGATACTCGGTTCTCTCACGACATCAAAATTCTGTTCAAAGTTTGATTTCCTAATCAGGTCATATCCGGATTTAATCGTGTATATTCCTGATTTAGTATGGTTCCACGCAAATCCATCAAGGGTACGGTTCCTACTAGGTCTCAACCCAAGGATAAGAGAGACATCTTCAGGTTGGAAAAATTCTCTTAGAAGAGGCTCATCCCATTGCTTCGTATCTTGACGGATAAAGGAGTAAACTAACACTCCTGGGTCCTGAAGTCCGATTTGGGGGGTTGCTCTTGGTGGACGGGCCCTGGCATCGGGGATCCAAGGCTCACTCCACACCCTCGTATTTAGTCTCGACCCTATCGTCTTCCTTAGTCCCATTTTGAGATACGGTTTTGCGGCCAACATACTCCTCCATCCATAGGATGGTGAGTAGACATTTCGATCCTCTAACGGATCTGATTGTCGATAATATCTTCCTCTTAGCACCCGAGCCAGAAGAGATGAAGGATACTGAATGAGTCTCCATAGTTGCTTCGCTAGCAAAGCTAGATTAAAATCATTTAGATCTCTAAAGCCAAGGCCTCCCATGTCCTGTGGAATGCAAATCTTGTCTCAGGCAATCCAGTGGATTCTGCTGCTAGTTTGTTTTGAACTCCACCAAAAATTGGAAATGGCGCTCCGAAGTTTGTCTGTAACCCCTTTAGGAAGGAGTAAACAAGACATGACGTAAGTGGGGACGGCTTGAGCCACTGATTTAATCTGATTCTCTTTTCCACCCTTGGAAAGAAGTCTTGCGGACCAATTATTAACACGATTACTAAGGCGTTCATGAACAAAAGAAAAGACCTTATTCTTTGATCCACAGATTTGCTCAGGTAGGCCTAGGTACATGCCCATGCCGCCTTCTGTAGAAATACCTATGGTATTTTTAACACTTCGTTTGAGATCTGGGTCCACTCTATCTCCAAACATGATGAATGATTTCCCCAGATTAAGTTGTTGTCCCGATGCCATTCCATAAGTGTTTATGATTTGAAGAATCTCCGCTCCTTGATGGATATCCGCTTTACAGAAAAAAAGGCTATCATCAGCAAAGAGAAGGTGGGAAACTGGGGGACTTGCTTGAGCTATTTTCAGCCCAGAGATTCGCTCCTCTTCCTCTGCTCCCTTGAGGAGCGAAATAAGGCCTTCTGTGCACAGAATAAAGAGGAAGGGGGAGAGAGGGTCCCCTTGCCTTAAGCCCCTTGACGGTTTGATATTACCTTTAGGTTCTCCATTAATAAGGACCTGGTATGAAACTGATGAGATGCAAAACATCAGTAAACTGACCCATCTCGATGAATATCCTAACTTGATTAGGAGAGCTTCAATGAAACTCCATTCAATTCGGTCATATGCTTTGGTCATATCTGTCTTGATAGCCATAAAATGTTCTCTACAATTTGTGTTGGTTCGGAGTGCGTGAAAATTTTCTTGCGCTAACAGAATATTATCTGTAATAAGTCGTCTAGCCATGAAGGCCGATTGTGTTTCTGAAATGATGTTTGGCAGTGTCTTTTTGAGTCGTTTGCATAAAAGCTTGGAGATGATCTTGTAACTGACGTTACACAGGCTGATTGGGCGAAATTCCCCCATTGCTCTAGGTTTGTTTATTTTTGGGATTAGACAAATATTGGTCTGGTTAAGTTTAGGATCAAAAGTTCCGGAGCTGAAAAAGTTTTTAACCAGTTTAACAATATCTTGGCGAATAAAAGGCCAGAACTTTTGGTAAAATTTGCTTGTCATACCATCAGGACCAGAAGCTTTATCCGGGTTAATATCGAAAAGCGCATCTTTAATTTCTTTCTCCGACGGATCCTTCAAAAGTAATTGATTTGTATTATCTGAGACTTTCTCGGTAATAAACCGGAGAGAATTTTCTGGGTCTGAGGGGATAGACGAGGAGAAAAGGTCTTGAAAATATGTAGAGGCCACTTTTTCTATTCCTCTCGCATTTTCCACCAAATGTCCGTTACTATCCTTAAGGGAGACGATGCGGTTCCTGGCTCTCCTTTGTTTAGTAAGGGCATGGAAGAATTTTGTGTTCTTATCACCGTCTTTGTGCCATTTCTCTCGAATCTTCTGTTGCCAGAACATTTCTTCTTCCCTGAGGGCAGCACAAAGTTTCCTCCTGATGTCTTCAATCTCTTCTAGTGTTGTATTATCATCATCTTGGGCTAAGTCCAATTGGTTTTTTAATTCTTCGATCATTTTTTCCGAGTTAGTCGGAGAGAATTTCTTCCAAATAGAGATGTTTTTCCGGCATTGTGCAACCTTTTGATGAAAATCTCGACGTGAGATTTCATTAAAGGTGCCCCACCTGGAAATGACTGTCTCTTTAAAACCAGGCTTTCCGATCCATCTCTTATCAAATCGAAATGATTTTTTCTTCCTTATGTTGTCAAATTTTATCATAGCTAGGACTGGTCGATGATCTGATCCCCAAAGTTTCATATACTCCGCAGAAGAGTGAGAAAATTTTGAAAGCCATTCTTCATTTCCAAGAGCTCTGTCTAAACGACATTTGACTTTGCCAGACCGTCTTCTTCCAACCCAGGAAAATGAATTTCCTTTGTACGGGAAGTCAAGCATTCCACAATTATCAAGCATAGTCCGGAAAGGAATAAATGAGTATTCAGGTCTTCTCCGACCTCCTCGTTTCTCATGATTTCTGGTAATCTCATTAAAATCTCCTATCAAAATCAGGCTTCTTTTCTGGTAGTACTCATCCTTGTTAGACGTTCCCAAACATTTTCTCGATTTTTTATAACCGGATCACCATAGACGAAAGTCATAAAAATTTTATGTCCGTCTAGACTTGATTCAACATCAATCAAATGCTCATCAGAATAGAGAATAGAGACCGTAGGTTCATCCATATAAAACAGGACTAAACCGCCGCTTCGACCTCTAGGTTCAACAGTGAAAACATGGTCATATCCAAAATGAACTTGCATGTCTTGCAGAAGATAACGATTATTTTTGGTCTCCGACAAAAATAGAAACCTCGGTTGAAAACATTTGTAAAGTTCTTCTAAATGATCTTTAAGTCAGATCCGAACCAGCTCTTTGACAATTCCATCCGATGATATTCATTTTGGACAGTAATTTCGGATTTTTAATTTACTTGGTTTTACCCAGATTAGGCTTGGCATATCAATTATTTAAAACTTATGTTTTAGCTAAAAACAGGTTTTAAACTTTTATCAGATACAATGTTTCTTGGGCTTAGTCCAGAATTGAATTAGGTCCATCAGATTTGAACTTGATCAAATGTTTTTTTTTTTTCTTTCTTTCTTTTCCTTGCCGCCGATGAGAGTCTCCACCGCCACAACGAGCAAGACCGGCGAGCTAAGAGGCGGATTTTGACGAGATCGAAAACCAAATCGTTGGAGGAAAACAAAGATTGCTGACGGAGAGCTTCAGATGTCCATAGGAGTTGTCAGGAAACTCTAGATCTGGGATCACCATTCTTTTCTCTTCAGCAAGCGTCGCCGCAAATCATTCAAATTAATTGATGCAGTTGGAATTTTCCTTCAAAGAGCAAGTCTTTTGTGAGATGAGTTGAGGACAACTTAGCATAAAGCTAGATATCTTT